TCCTGAGCTTTATCAAATTCGTCTTAAACTGTGTATGGTTCCTGCCTCCACTACGTCATTTTTTAGGCTATTCCACTGCCTTACAACTCTATGACTGAAAAATCTTCCTACTATCTCTGACTCATTTGTGTCTTCAATTCCAATTGTGGCCTCTTGTTTCTGTGTCCCCCCCCTGGAACATCCTGTCTTTGTCCCCCTTTGTCTATTCCACGCAGTATTTTATATGTCGTTATCATGTCTCCCCTGACCCTCCTGTCCTCCAGTGTCGTCAGGCCGATTTCCCTTAATCTTTCTTCATAGGAAAATTCCCCTTAGCTCTGGAACTAACCCTTTTCGCAAACCTTTGTACTTTCTCTATTTTCTTGACGTGCTTTATCAAGTGCGGGTTCCAAACATAGCACTGGTCCTAGGACCGACCCCTGTGGGACCCCGCTCGTCACAGGTGCCCACTGTGATACATCATTACGTACCATGACTCGTTGTTGCCTCCCTGTCAGGTATTCTCTGATCCATTGCAGTGCCCTTCCTGTTATATGCGCCTGATGCTCTAGCTTCTGCACTAATCTCTTGTGAGGAACTGTGTCAAAGGCCTTCTTGCAGTCCAAAAAGATGCAATCAAACCCCCCCCTCTCTTCTTGTCTTACTTCTGTTATTTTATATAAAACTCCAGGGAAAGGGTTTTTGACACAGGATTTGCCTTCCGTGAATCCGTGGCTGGTTGGCATTTATACTCCTGTTCCGTTCCAGGTGCTCCACCACTTTTCCTCTTGATAATCTTCTCCATAATTTTGCATACTATACACGTCAATGACACAGGTCTATAGTTTAGTGCCTCTTTTCTGTCTCCTTTTTTGAAAATGGGAACTACATTTGCCGTCTTCCATACCTCAGGTGTTGTGTGTGTGTGTGTGTGTGTGTGTGTGTGTGTGTGTGTGTGTGTGTGTGTGTGTGTGTGTGTGTGTGTGTGTGTGTGTGTGTGTGTGTGTGTGTGTGTGTGTGTGTGTGTGTGTGTGTGTGTGTGTGTGTGTGTGTGTGTGTACTGTGTGTGTGTGTGTATGTGTGTGTGTGCATGTGTGTGTGTATGTGTGTGTGTATATGTGTGTGTATGTGTGTGTATGTGTGTGTGTATGTGTGTGTGTATGTGTGTGTGAATGTGTATGTGCATGTGTGTGTGTATGTGTGTGTGTGTGTGTGTATGTGTGTGTGTGTGTGTGTATGTGTGTGTGTGTATGTGTGTGTGTGTGTGTGTGTGTGTGTCACAAACAGGCTGAACGATTGATTATTAAAGGACCTACAAGAATCCAATCACTGCATGCACAAAATAATTAGGATAAAGAAGTGAAAAGATCGGATACGGAATACGGCCTGAGAGAAGAGGACCTGGAGACCCTTTACCAGGAAACAGATCCGGTAGTAAACCTCACACAGAGCACATCTCTAAAGGGACATATCAACCATGTGACCTCAATGACATATGCTAATTTAGCAAATCTAGAGAACCTTGGCAAAGAATAATTTCGAGCATCGTGTTAGAAATTATTTTGGTCAATTTTATAGTATCGTGCGTCAGCATGAGGACTGAATCTCGTACTTTTTGTAATGAAATTTAATAGGAACTCAAGTTTCACTACGATGATGGTGATAGACCCAACGAGGAGGATTGACAGGAGAAATTGATGGAAAGAAACCTGAAAACTCCGCCAGGGAGGAGGACCAGTGGATGACATGGTCATGATATAAATCATATTCGAGGTATGGTTGAAGACATGGTCATGACATGAGTCATATTCAATGTATGGTGGATGACATGGTCATGACATGAGTCATATTCAATGTATGGTGGATGACATGGTCATGACATGAGTCATATTCAATGTATGGTGGATGACATGGTCATGACATGAGTCATATTCAATGTATGGTGGATGACATGGTCATGACATGAGTCATATTCAATGTATGGTGGATGACATGGTCATGACATGAGTCATATTCAAGGTATGGTGGATGACATGGTCATGACATGAGTCATATTCAAGGTATGGTGGATGACATGGTCATGACATAAGTCATATTCAATGTATGGTGGATGACATGGTCATGATATACACCACACTCAGAGTACGATGTATGTCACCTCCGTGTAAAATGTTTGAGAAGTGATGATAGTACGCTAATAAACATGGCATGTACAGAGGCAGTAGTCACACAAACTGTGAAATATTTATTCTCAGTCTAATTGATCACTAACTGAAGATTCAGTGGAGGCAAATAAAAAAAAAAACACAATATCAAAAGTAGGTGTGATAGGGTCACCGAGGTGAGGAATCAGAAAAGAGGCGGGCCAGGAGCTATGACTAACCTTGCAAACTTAACTAGAAAAATACTGACACACTTCTGGCTTGCAGCCCTGTGGTCAGGCCCAGTATACAACTGATATGACTTGTTACATCCTGGGGAAGATACCTGAGTGTTGATCAACTGTCATGTGTTACATCCTGGGGAAGATACCTGAGTGTTGATCAACTGTCATGTGTTACATCCTGGGGTAGATACCTGAGTGTTGATCAACTGTCATGTGTTACATCCTGGGGTAGATACCTGAGTGTTGATCAACTGTCATGTGTTACATCCTGGGGAAGATACCTGAGTGTTGATCAACTGTCATGTGTTACATCCTGGGGAAGATACCTGAGTGTTGATCAACTGTCATGTGTTACATCCTGGGTAGATACCTGAATGTTGATCAACTGTCATGTGTTACATCCTGGGGAAGATACCTGAGTGTTGATCAACTGTCATGTGTTACATCCTGGAGAAGATACCTGAGTGTTGATCAACTGTCATGTGTTACATCCTGGGGTAGATACCTGAGTGTTGATCAACTGTCAAGTGTTACATCCTGAGGAAGATACCTGAGTGTTGATCAACTGTCATGTGTTACATCCTGAGGAAGATACCTGAGTGTTGATCAACTGTCATGTGTTACATCCTGAGGAAGATACCTGAGTGTTGATCAACTGTCATGTGTTACATCCGGGGTAGATACCTGAGTGCTGATCACCTGTCATGTGTTACATCCTGGGGAAGATACCTGAGTGTTGATCAACTGTCATGTGTTACATCCTGAGGAAGATACCTGAGTGTTGATCAACTGTCATGTGTTACATCCTGGGGAAGATACCTGAGTGTTGATCAACTGTCATGTGTTACATCCTGGAGAAGATACCTGAGTGTTGATCAACTGTCATGTGTTACATCCTGGGGTAGATACCTGAGTGTTGATCAACTGTAATGTGTTACATCCTGGGGTAGATACCTGAGTGTTGATCAACTGTCATGTGTTACATCCTGGGGTAGATACCTGAGTGTTGATCAAATGTCATGTGTTACATCCTGGGGAAGATACCTGAGTGTTGATCAACTGTCATGTGTTACATCCTGGGGAAGATACCTGAGTGTTGATCAACTGTCATGTGTTACATCCTGGGGAAGATACCTGAGTGTTGATCAACTGTCATGTGTTACATCCTGGGGTAGATACCTGAGTGTTGATCAACTGTCATGTGTTACATCCTGGGTTAGATACCTGAGTGTTGATCAAATGTCATGTGTCACATCCTGGGGAAGATACCTGAGTGTTGATCAACTGTCAAGTGTTACATCCTGGGGAAGATACCTGAGTGTTGATCAACTGTCATGTGTTACATCCTGGGGAAGATACCTGAGTGTTGATCAGCTGTCATGTGTTACATCCTGGGGTAGATACCTGAGTGTTGATCAACTGTCATGTGTTACATCCTGGGGTAGATACCTGAGTGTTGATCAACTGTCATGTGTTACATCCTGGGGAAGATACCTGAGTGTTGATCAACTGTCATGTGTTACATCCTGGGGTAGATACCTGAGTGTTGATCAACTGTCATGTGTTACATCCTGGGGAAGATACCTGAGTGTTGATCAACTGTCATGTGTTACATCCTGGGGAAGATACCTGAGTGTTGATCAGCTGTCATGTGTTACATCCTGAGGAAGATACCTGAGTGTTGATCAACTGTCATGTGTTACATCCTGGGGTAGATACCTGAGTGTTGATCAACTGTCATGTGTTACATTGTGGGGAAGATACCTGAGTGTTGATCAACTGTCATGTGTTACATCCTGGGGTAGATACCTGAGTGTTGATCAGCTGTCATGTGTTACATCCTGGGGAAGATACCTGAGTATTGATCAACTGTCATGTGTTACATTGTGGGGAAGATACCTGAGTGTTGATCAACTGTCATGTGTTACATCCTGGGGTAGATACCTGAGTGTTGATCAACTGTCATGTGTTACATCCTGGGGTAGATACCTGAGTGTTGATCAACTGTCATGTGTTACATCCTGGGGTAGATACCTGAGTGTTGATCAGCTGTCTTGAGCTACAATCTTGTGGAGATTAAATGTTAATAAGAGTGAAGACTGGACGCCACGAACACTGCTCAGTTACTGGAGCTAGAAATAGATAATAATCACCCTCACTCTACAGGCTGTTTACACTTCACTCCATTCTATTGGACATGCCCATCACTCCAGCTACACATTCCCACTATTCCACCTACACATTTCAGAAATGCCCAGAGACTATTAGCACGTTCCCACTGTTGCATCAATGTTTGCACAAGGTGGGGTATTTTGTTGTTGAACTTGGCTTACTACGTTTGATATGCTGGTACAGAACTACGCTCTGTTATGGCTTGGCTGCTTAACCTTTCCTCATTCGTCCACGTTCTTTAATATACGTAGTTCATAACTCCGATTTCCTACCGTTTCCTGGAAGCTTACAAATATTATTTTCTTGATATTACTAGGAAATTAGGTTATGTACTCAGTGTTCATGCATTTAAGGCATCTCTCTCTCTCTCTCTCTCTCTCTCTCTCTCTCTCTCTCTCTCTCTCTCTCTCTCTCTCTCTCTCTCTCTCTCTCTCTCTCCTTCCCTCATTGCCCCAACACTCACGTATAAGGTGCTGGTGTACCAGTATCTGAACCTTGGAGAGGTGGCACCTCTCCCGGAGCTGAAAGATGAGTTCCTGAGGATAGAGACAGAATCTTGCAGAGAGCCATCCCTTGACCCCAGGCCCCTGCTGAAGCAGCTCCTTGGCACGACCACTCTCATCCTCACCTGCAGAGCACACGTATATTCAAAATGAAATTCAATTGAATTTTCCATAAGAATACAACTGAACAAAATTATGCAGTAATATATATATATATATATATATATATATATATATATATATATTATATATATATATATATATATATATATATATATATATATATATATATATATAATATATATTGTCAAAGTACCACACTTGGATCCACTTCGAGGACAGCGTGAAACAAGCTTTTATGCCACAAGACGGGCAGAAAGCAGCAACTTCACTCTGGCTGTACCCTTCTCCAGAACATCACTCCATCTGAGAGGGGTACGTCAACCAGGATGTTAACACCGTGGATGTCAGTGTAGCTCTTAACACTGTGGATGTCAGTGTAGCTCTTAACACTGTGGATGTCAGTGTAGCTCTTAACATCATGGATGTCAGTGAAGGTGTTAACATCATGGATGTCAGTGCGCCTACCAGCCAGCATTGATACTAGGCACCTCAGGACAATCAACGTTCAATAGGAAGCATACAGAAGAAACTCTGTGACTGAAGATTACCAGTCCCCCGGGGCGGTCTTGGACCAGGTCTCCTCTCATAGATATAACTAAAGATTACCAGTCCCCCGGGGCGGTCTTGGACCAGGTCTCCTCTCATAGATATAACTAAAGATTACCAGTCCCCCGGGGTGGTCTTGGACCAGGTCTCCTCTCATAGATATAACTAAAGATTACCAGTCCCCCGGGGTGGTCTTGGACCAGGTCTCCTCTCATAGATATAACTAAAGATTACCAGTCCCCCGGGGCGGTCTTGGACCAGGTCTCCTCTCATAGATATAACTAAAGATTACCAGTCCCCCAGGGTGGTGTTGGACCAGGTCTCCTCTCATAGATATAACTAAAGATTACCAGTCCCCCGGGGTGGTCTTGGACCAGGTCTCCTCTCATAGATATAACTAAAGATTACCAGTCCCCCGGGGTGGTCTTGGACCAGGTCTCCTCTCACAGATATAACTAAAGATTACCAGTTCCCCAGGGTGGTCTGGGACCAGGTCTCCTCTCATAGATATAACTAAAGATTACCAGTTCCCCAGGGTGGTCTGGGACCAGGTCTCCTCTCACAGATATAACTAAAGATTACCAGTTCCCCAGGGTGGTCTGGGACCAGGTCTCCTCTCACAGATATAACTAAAGATTACCAGTTCCCCAGGGTGGTCTGGGACCAGGTCTCCTCTCATAGATATAACTAAAGATTACCAGTTCCCCAGGGTGGTCTGGGACCAGGTCTCCTCTCACAGATATAACTAAAGATTACCAGTTCCCAGGGTGGTCTGGGACCAGGTCTCCTCTCACAGATATAACTAAAGATTACCAGTTCCCCAGGGTGGTCTGGGACCAGGTCTCCTCTCACAGATATAACTAAAGATTACCAGTTCCCCAGGGTGGTCTGGGACCAGGTCTCCTCTCACAGATATAACTAAAGATTACCAGTTCCCCAGGGTGGTCTGGGACCAGGTCTCCTCTCATAGATATAACTAAAGATTACCAGTTCCCCAGGGTGGTCTGGGACCAGGTCTCCTCTCACAGATATAACTAAAGATTACCAGTGGCCCAGGGTGGTCTTGGACCAGGTCTCCTCTCACAGATATAACTGAAGATTACCAGTGGCCCAGGGTGGTCTGGGACCAGGTCTCCTCTCACACAGACACTTGTGACTCACTCTTTCAGTCTGCTGGTGTATCCTCCATCTCTTCTCAATAATAATAAATAATAATAATAATACCAATAATAATAATAATTACAAGAAAATATTTTAAATGATGACAATAAAATAGTAATTTTGAAATATTAATGATGGTGACAGTTAAATAATTATGAAATATTAATGATGGTGACAGTTAAATAATTATGAAATATTAATGATGTTGACAGTTAAATAATAATAAAACACAGCAATAACAGAGCAATAAAACAAAGAAAAACACAGAACTGGTAACCAGTCACCCCTCTCTCGTCTCTCTCTCTCTCTTTCTTTCTCTCTCTCTCTCTCTCTCTCTCTCTCTCTCTCTCTCTCTCTCTCTCTCTCTCTCTCTCTCTCTCTCTCTCTCTCTCTCTCTCTCTCTCTCTCTCTTTTTTTTTTTTTACACAGGGTTTGACAAGGTTAAGGATCCCTAGCTTTATTGACAGCTATTTACACGTTAAGGATTCCTAACTTTATTGGCAAGCTAAGAGCTGTTACCTACATCAGCTCATTTGAAAGCATTTTTATTGTTATGAGACATACAAGTAGGGAACAGGATGAAGTTGGAGCCATCTGTCGGCCAGCATTTTCATTTGATCAACTGACTTTATCTCGTTGACATCATTATGCTGTACGAATGTGTTCCATACTCGAGTCATCCTGGGTATGTATGATCTCAGATGGAGTGATGTTCTGGAGAAGGGTACAGCCAGAGTGAAGTTGCTGCTTTCTGCCCGTCTTGTGGCATAAAAGCTTGTTTCACGCTGTCCTCGAAGTGGATCCAAGTGTGGTATTTTGACAATATTGGCCTTGTACATAACAGTAAGGCCACCCACATCCCTCCTATGTTGAAGGCTCTGCTGAAATGACCGATCTATCCAGGATGGGTCCAGGCGAGAGATGAGACGTCTTGCTCTGTTCTCTACTCTGTCAAGCAGTCGCAGATGAGAGGGGGGTCAGGCAAACCAAGAAAGTGGAGCATACTCAAGGTGTGAGCGTACTTGTGCCTCGTACAGAATCTTGCAACCCCTACTGTCAAGCAGATGCCAGATACGGCGAAGTGCTGTAAGCTTCCTGGCTGCCTTGTTTGCAAGATTTACAACGTGGTTCTTCATGGTTCTTCTTTCCCTCTCTCTCTCACTCTCTAACTCTCTCCCTCTCTCCCTCTCTCTCTCACTCTCTCCCTCTCTCTCTCACTCTCTCCCTCTCTCTCTCACTCTCTCACTCTCTCTCTCTCTCCCTCTCTCCCTCTCTCTCTCACTCTCTCCCTTCTCTCTCACTCTCTCCCTCTCTCTCCCTCCCTCCCTCCCCTCCTCTGCAGCAATACATTTCATTGTATAAATTTACGTATTCAACCCGAGTGTAAAATTTACATTTTTACTATAAATGAGGTTGAAAAATTGAGCTGTAAATGATGGTGTGTGTTTGTGTGTGTGTGTTTGTGTGTGTGTGTGTGTTTGTGTGTGTGTGTTTGTGTGTGTGTTTGTGTGTGTGTGTGTGTGTTTGTGTGTGTGTGTTTGTGTGTGTGTGTGTGTGTGTTTGTGTGTGTGTGTTTGTGTGTGTGTGTTTGTGTGTGTGTGTGTGTTTGTGTGTGTGTGTTTGTGTGTGTGTGTGTGTTTGTGTGTGTGTGTTTGTGTGTGTGTGTGTTTGTGTGTGTGTGTGTGTTTGTGTGTGTGTGTTTGTGTGTTGTGTGTGTGTGTGTTTGTGTGTGTGTGTGTGTTTGTGTGTGTGTGTGTGTTTGTGTGTGGTGTGTGTTTGTGTGTGTGTGTTTGTGTGTGTGTGTTGTACTCACCTATTTGTGGTTGCAGGGGTCGAGTGGTGTGTGTGTGTGTGTGTGTGTGTGTGTGTGTGTGTGTGTGTGGTGTTTGTATGTGTGTGTTTGTGTGTGTGTGTGTGTGTTTGTACTCACCTAGTTGTACTCACCTAGTTGAGGTTGCAGGGGTCGAGTCCAAGCTCCTGGCCCCGCCTCTTCACTGGTCGCTACTAGGTCACTCTCCCTGAACCATGAGCTTTATCGTACCTCTGCTTAAAGCTATGTATGGATCTTGCCTCCACTACATCGCTTCCCAAATTATTCCACTTACTGACTACTCTGTGGCTGAAGAAATACTTCCTAACATCCCTGTGATTCATCTGTGTCTTCAACTTCCAACTGTGTCCCCTTGTTGCTGTGTCCCATCTCTGGAACATCCTGTCTTTGTCTACCTTGTCAATTCCTCTCAGTATTTTGTATGTCGTTATCATGTTCCCCTTATCTCTCCTGTCCTCCAGTATTGTCAGGTTGATTTCCCTTAACCTCTCCTCGTAGGACATACCTTTTAGCTCTGGGACTAGTCTTGTTGCGAACCTTTGCACTTTCTCTAGTTTCTTCACGTGCTTGGCTAGGTGTGGGTTCCAAACTGGTGCCGCATACTCCAATATGGGCCTAACGTACACGGTACAGGGTCCTGAACGATGTATGTGTGTTTGTATGTGTAATTACCTCTTTGTAGTTCACTGCACTCCCAAGCTGAAGAATTATTTCCTGACATCCTAGTAGCTCACTCGGGTGTCTAGCTACCGATCTTCCTGTTACATCCCTGGTAAGCAGCCTCTAGCCCCAGCTCATTCTCTTAACAACAGATAGCATTTCATTCTTGCTAATAAGCAAAGGTCTAGCCTACACCTCTGAGTCATCTTGTGACAGTGTGAATCAGTTTTCAAACTGCCTCCGCTGGACACTCACCTGAAGAGTTCGACTCTCAGTATCCTCCTCGACATATTGTTTTAATGTTAGATAACTCAAGGGGGATTTACATTCAAACAGTCCCTTAAGTGCTCTGTAATATTATATAATGATGTAAACATCGATGTTTCCCGTGTGTTGACTCATGTTTACCAAGCAGCTCCTCAGAACCTTGCTTGCTTCTCCGGTATTGTTGAACCACATCCGTAGAGGTTTTCCAGTGTTTTTGTTTCATTCCAGAGCTAATACTCTCTTGTGGAACTTCTATTTATAACAAAGGTGAGATAGGTTGCCTGGTGGCACCTTCGTCACAGTGGCTCTCTCCTCCTGTGTGTTATTAGTCTAGTATAATATTCCAGAGCCGTGGTTCCATGCTATGTTTACGTTTCATTGTATTTTGTTTACAAGTTGGATCAATACAGTGTCGCGCTACAGCGATGTTCATCTCATTAATCGTCTGAGGTCATCAGACCTGTTGCGGCTTCTGATAACTGCGCCAGGCTTCGTATACCCGAGTTGTTTCATTGATGCATTTACCTAATCCGCTAA